CGTGAAAAAACTGAATATCATTAGGAAAATTTCCCCTATTTTAGTGTTGATGATCACTGAGAACGAGCTGAACGCGGCCGGTATCGTTGCAACGGTACGTTGTAGTTTCCACCACCACAAAACTATCCGTCAGAGCTACGGCATACTCATTTTTGTTCCGATTCTGATTTTCGTCATTTTAGGGTTCTTTATCGAGTTTATGTCTTAAATCGCTGATAATCGGGTCCACAATCGTTCTTCTTGTTTTCGTTGCCTACTTTCACATTATAGAAGTACAGGTGAGTGCAGAAATTCCTAGTTTAATGTCTTAGGATCTTCCTGATTGAATTAATCAGCTTTCAACGACGCCTAAGCTTCATTCTTATGTACCATTTAGCTGTTCATGAACGCAAACGCGGCCGACGATTGGCGAGTGGCGTTGACCCTGCGAAGGATGTTCCAGATCGGTACGTGGTCAATGGCTGGAATCTGAGTTTTTTGACGCTATCGCAATATACGTGGGGCATCCTCTAGGACTAAGCCTAGGAGGGGCAAGAGGTTCGGGGAAATACAAATGGCTCACTGACCTTGGACTCTCTCCCTAGCCTAATATTTGATCCCGATTCAAAAAAAAGATATGTTTTACGCGAATTTAAATGCATTGCCATCACAATGCACCCGTATTTTGCGATAGCGCCGATTTTCTCAGTGAATTGTAGATATTTCTTCCACAGCTGGATAACAGAATGCTGGAGTATGGTAAACCATGGCGTTCATGGTTTCAAGAACTTTCACGTCCCCCACTTTGAAAGTTCTCCAAGTCACCCACCGCCTCACTTGGCGGGGGGATACCAACACCTAAAATCCAGTGGTCGTCGAGAAGAGAGGGGAGAGGGGGGAATCATATCTAAAATGACAGCTGATGCTCTAGTTTTGCCCAGCTGATGCTTAGTTTTGGAGGTTTTAGCCAAAGGTTGCCGAAAACAATCAAAAATGACCCCCTCTCTTACCACTACCACTCCTTTCTTATTGTTGCTCTTCTACGCAATGAGTCCGCGCGATCGCAGGACCTACAGACAACCACCACTCCTTAATTTCCATAATAGGACCCAGCTTCGGCCGCTTGGCCTTCTTCAACCCCAATTTGACGACCGCCTCCTAAAAATCGCCAACATCCCTCCCCCGCCTGGATGCCGCGCGGACGATTTATCCTGCTGGGGTTCACAAAGGCCGTCCTAAAAAGGGAGTTCAACTGCACATGGAGTGCGCTACAAGGCAGTCGTAAGAAAACGCCAAATACGACTGCGACTGCAAGACGTTCGATCGCGAATTAGTCGTAATAAAAGCATGCAGAGCAAGCAGCAAGTAAAAATAAAACAATTGAAAATAAGCAACCTCTGGCTACACAGAGATTCTTCAGGGCAGAACTGTTCATCTGTGCTCTTTGTCCACTTCCATTCGAGCTGGCTCAAAGGGGAGATCCCAATGGAAGGATAAATTATGGGGTATGTCGCCAAATTTGCATTGAAATCGTTCTTTTACCCCATCTCTTCACATTGACAGACTCTCCATTCGCTGAACGTGATCGTCTCGATCGCGATGTTCTTCAGACTCTACTGGCTGTGTCGTGTGATGCTGCTCCATTCAAGGTGAGCACCGTACTACAGCCAAATCTTTTAACAGTCTACGCGTAATGGAGGTTACAGAGTTAGGCGATCGTACGTGGCGATTCGCGACTGGCAGAACGGATTAGCCTACATAAAGTATACGTATAAAGTAAGGAGCGATTTGGCGATATCCCGAAAGGCAGTAGGCGCATTATCTAGGAAAGACGACAATGCATATCGATGCTTAGCTCCTCCCATAGAGCGGCTGGCCGGCGAGTAGGCATCAGGCCGATCAGGTGATAGGATCGCTTGCGACGAGAAGAACAATCAATACGTACCCTTCCTCTTATCGCTCGCGGTCGCGTTCTCCGCTAGATCGATACTCATGCCTTTTTCCGAAATCATCGCCCCAATCGCGGTACAATCGCACTACTTTCGACCATCTATGAACGCACCATAGTGTCGCTGTAGAATGCCCGTCAAGTGGCAGTTTCATCGTTGAATTCAGGCTGTTCACCGATGCAAGTAGTCGAAGTATCGCCGGTTTGAATCGTGTGAATTTCAACGCCCGTTTCATTCTCAAAACCCTTATGACCTTATGTCCCGGTGAGTGTTTTCAACTGTATTGGGATGCAGCTGTGTTTGACGAAGTTATACGATTTGTTTAAGGAAAAATGCTCATGATTTTCACGGCTTTTCTCTGGATTATGGCTGGTTGGATTCTTCGTTGTGTGAAAGGTAAGTGGAGGCAATCTGGTAGTGTTTACAGTCTTGCTTGAGGAGCGAAAGTTACTTTCATAAGATGGGAGGGGTTTGCGCCTGTCCATCTCATAAAGTGAGAAAGAGGGGCGGGATTTACAGCTCCCCCTTCTTTGGATAGTTCCATCCCTTACGAGGCTTTGCTGCATTTTACAGTATAAAGAGCAAAAGCTAGCCAATGAGATTCCCGCACAGGCTGAGCGCAACACTGCGCTATCGCAAAATACGGGGGCATTGTGGTCGCAACGCATTCAAAACCGCGTAAAACAAATCTTTTATGTTAAATACTGGACCACTAAGCCTTAGGCGGACATGGGGGACTGGTGCGTGAGCAAGTTCCATTTTTCCCGGAATTTCTGCCCTCTCCTACGCTTAGTCCCAGAAGATGTCCCCGTATGTTGCGGTAGCGCCCGCGTCGAGACCTGGATGGAAATTATTATTGAGTTCTGCCTTTTTCAGGGATTATGTCGGAATAAACCACAGAGCAAGAGACATGGACTACCTCTCATCGATTTGGATGGTGGCAATCACATTCCTCTCCGTTGGTTACGGTAAGTTTCTTTGTAGGAAGGTAGCCGAGAATATTGCGATAGATGATCACTTTCAGGCGATATCGTCCCTCATACGAACTGTGGACGCACAATGGCCGTAATAACAGGAATTTTGGTATGTTCTGGAATCATTTACAGTATTATAACTCTGAAATACGCAAACATGAATCAAGGTTTAAGCCCTGGGTACCGAACTTGGAGAGTTTACTTAGCGCAAACAATTAGAAAAAGCTCAAAATGGATGTCTTTTGGGCGCTATCGCATCGCTCGATTCGCAAATTCTGACATCGGCTCTACGTTGCCCCGAGCTCAAGGAGGCCTTGAGCTCAAGCCTTGCACCATATCCTCGTTGATGTCGCCTGTTTAGCAGGCTATAAGAGCCTAATAGACGTGCTTTTAGTGAGCGGTTGATAGCATCGGGTTGAGATCTTGCAAATGTGGCTAACGCGTCCCGAATGTGATGAAAAAGGTCTTTTTTGGCCCTAGTCCTGAATTTAGCGC